GGAAATGGGCGACCATGGATGCGCGCGCAGCCGGGGCGGTGCTTCCGCGGAGGAACCGTGTGGTACAGGCTGGTGTCCCGGGGTCCGCGGACTTCCCGCTTCTTGCTAGTGAGGGGCAGCACTTAAGAGATCAGAGGAGGGAAGATGACGTTGCGCGCTTCTAAAAGCGTGATCTAGGGACTCTTGGAATGGGGTAAAGTGGGGTAGAGCCGGAGACCCGTCGAGGAGGGTCTCTTATCAGAACTGTTTCCTCGACATCAAGACGTTGTTTTGCGCTTTTCACCCTCACTCCGTAATGCGCAATTAGCACACGACGTGTAAGGACGCCGTCGCAGTGCAGTGTGTGATTTTGTATTCTTGTGCTTAAAAAAAACCAATATTGTTAATTAGACTCAATTGTTTTTCAATCGTCAGTAATGTTGGGGGGCTGGGGATCAAACTCAGGGATTCACACTTGTAAGCAAACATTCCACCGAATTACGCCCTGAGCTTGTTAATATTTTTTGCCATCGAAGTCTAAGGAATTTTTAAAACTAAGAGCTCAGGTGCTATTTTAAGACTAAAAGTGCCAGTCAGGGATTTAGCTCAGTGTTTCCGCCCCCTGCCTTGCAAGGACAAGCACAAGGGCCAGAGTTCCATCCCCGGTACCAAAAAACAAACTAACTAAAAATGCTCTGCAAAGACCAAGAAATAAGAGTCCAGTCAGCACTGCCACCGAATAGGAATAGGTACCTTTAAAATAAGAGAAAGAGAAATTTCTTTGCAAAAGACAATACTGGTTCCTCAGAAATAAACAATGGTAGGATACCAGACAAAAAGGACCTATAGGTAAATTAACAACAAAAATCACAATAGTGGAAGATATTAAAAAAACAAACAAAAACCTTTGGTATAATTTCCCCCTGCCTGACTTGGGAAAATGTAGAAAATGCTCTGCAGTCACACAATCCAAAGAAAAATCATTTACAGAACTTAGTATATAAACTGAAACTTTCGTGTGTTGCACCTTGCAAATGGGAAAGTTCAGGCCCTACTAGTAGGTAAGAGAGCAACATACTAGCCACTAAAAAATATTTAACAATAACAATCGAAGGAAACAGACTGAAATTATATATTAATCTTGACAAACCAAGTGTAATGGAACAATGGGAAAAGATTAAAGGCCTTTTCCCCTACTTTTAAAAATTGTAAGGATCAGGGATTTAGCTCAGTGGCACCACACCTTCCTCATAAACAAGGGCCCTGAGTTTGATTCCTGGTACCAAAAACAAAAAATGTTGCAGTAAAATACACAAGAATTGCAGTAAAATATACATCATAACCATTTTTAAGCATACAGTTTAGAGCATATTTATGCAAACACCTTTCATTTCTAAAAACACTTCATTTTGCAGATTCAAGTTCTACCCATTAAACAATAATTCTTCATTTCCCCCTATTCTCAGCTTCTAGAATTAAACTAGGAGATAGGGGAAATTAGGCAGATAGGACAGAGATCCTGAATAGTTAACCTAAAGTTTTAAATTTAAGTGAGTTAACATATCAGAGGGTCCAAATAAACTATCAGGGCCAAATGAAACACAAGGGACAAAAAAAAAAAAAAAAAAAAAGTGAATGGGAGAGGCCTTGGAGGAAAAACGCAAACAAAGCAGCTAGCACTGTGGACATTAAAGTCCTATCTGCGGCTGGGCTTGGTGGTGCACGCCTGTAATCCCAGCACCGGAAGGCTGAGGCAGGAGGATCTCTGTGAGTTCGGGCCAGCCTGGGCTACATAGTGAGTTCCAGGTCAGTCTCAACCACATAGTGAGACCCTGTCTCAAAAAAAAAAAAAAAAAAAAAAAAGTCCTATCTGCAACCAGGAGCAGCGCTGCTTCTGACCTGTTCACCCCTTCCAAAAACTGTAGAAAAGCCAATGGACTTGAACATCTAGAATGTCTGCCTTAACAAACCCCTCTCCAACTAGCAGGGTGCTTTTCCTTTTATTCTTTCTAATGAACACTCATTTGGCCATTCTCCACCTCTTGTTGCTTGCTGTTTTGTCAGCTTCTGCCTGCATTACCCTGAAACAAAGACCCAAGAGCTAGAGGGAATTGGTTACACTACTTATCTGTTTCTATGATTATGGACTAAGTGTCTCAGATGAGTGGAATCACACAGTACTGTATCTGTCTTTTTGTAACTAGCTGACTTCACTTACATTCCTTAAAATTCATTGATGAGTTAGCATATGACAATTTTAGAACTGTTTAATATATGTAAGAGTCCACTGTGTTATTTACTACATTTTGTTGATCCGTTCTTCTGTTAATGGACACTTGTGTTGCTTCCATGTGCTGCTATTGTAAATAATGGTGCTGTGAACATGGATGTACAGTTGTCTCTTCTACACCCGGCTTTCTTTTAGGCATGTACCCAGACGTGGAATTGCTGGATCATGTGGTAATTCTATTTTTAACAACTACCACAGTGTTTTCTACAGCAGCTATACCATTTTATAGTCCCACCCATATTTCACAGGCTTTCAGTATCTCCACATTCTTACCGACACCTGTCTAATAGTAGCCATCCTGGCGAGCCAGCACCGTTGCTGTCTGCAGAGTGAAACCACACGCCTTAGTCTGTGGGCCCAGCCATGGCACCGCAGCTCACCCGCCGGGGAGCAGGGCATCCCCTTGCACAGGAGCGCCAAGATGGTGGCCGAGTTCTTCTCATTTGGCATCAGCAGCATTTTATATCAGCCTGGTCTATATATCCATCTGAAACCTTTATTCGAGTGCAAAAATATGGACTCACCTTGCTTGTAACTACTGATCCTGAGCTCATAAAATATCTCAATAATGTGGTGGGACAACTAAAAGATTGGCTGTACAACTGTTCTGTTCAGAAACTTGTAGTAGTCATCTCAGATATTGGTGGTGAAGTCCTTGGAAGATGGCATTTTGATATTAAGTTTGACAGGACTGCAAAAGATGACAGTGCTCCCAGAGAAAAGTCTCAGAAAGCTATACAGGATGAAATTCATTCCGTGATCAGACAGATCACAGCTACAGAGACATTTCTTCCATTAGCAGAAGTTTCTTGTTCATTTGACCTCCTGATTTATACAAAGATTTGGCTGTACCTGAAAAATGGGAAGAGTCACACCACAGTTCATTACCAATTCCGAGAAGTCCATCTTTGTTCATTACTACCACAATGCGCAAAGTAAACAGCATGGTGGCCTACAAAATTCCTGTCAGTGACTGAGGGTGAGATGAGCAAAGTAATGCAATGGAAAAATTCTCAAATGTGGTTTTCCTGAAACCACGCCAATTATAGTTGATGTTTTATGTCATTGGTTAATATTTAGATGGGAAAAACCAACATTATACTTAACAAACTGTGCATACATGTTTCATTTTTTTTAGTGCCTGCTTGACTTATCACTGGGCTAACATAATGAGGACACTGCACAATGTTCATGAGGAAGCAGCAGATTTCATCAGTATTGTAATGGGAATGCCTTTGAAAGTGGTGATTGTAAATGGAAAATCTTTTGTTACTTTGGTATAAAGTTACTCATTTTGGTTAAATATTAAACTGGATAGAGTGATATTTGATAAAACAGCAAGGAAAGTGAAAAATTCAGGACCTTTGTTTAGATCCTGAAAGGTACTGAAGTTGCTTTATTGGATCTTTTTGTCATTTTATTGTATAGTTTCAATATTGAAAAAATTTGTAACTATTTGATTTTAATTTATATAACTCAAACCCATAAAGCAATGGGTGTTTGTATTGTTTAATTGCTATTATACAGAATTCTTAAAATTTTTAAATGTTTTTAAAAATCAAGCTTTAAATGCCAATGATGAAATAAAGTTAAACCTTTTATGTTTTAAATTTGTCTTAAAATATTTTGATATTCATATGACATTAACAGGTAAATGGTAGAATGGATTCAGTATAGCAAGTGATTTCTTATGCCAGAGATTTAGCTCAGTGGTTCCACTGCCTGCCTTGCAAACGCAAGGACCAGAGTTCAATCCCTGGTACCAAAAAATGTTTTAGAGTCTACAATTGTACAAACTTAAATAGTTCTGAGGTACTTTCAGTCTACTAGTCTACTGGGTCAGTTTTGATTATACTTTCTTCATCTCAAAGTAGACATCAAATAACCATTATTATAGAAATACAAATATCATTTGCTATTAGTTCATTTTAGCAAATGTTGGGTTGTAGCATCATTCCATACACTTAGATTCACTGTCAGCCTCGTTTTCCTTATGTAGTGAAACAGAAGACATTAATACTCTATTCATTAATACTGTATCAGTAGAGATATATATAGATATAGATAAATATATATATATATTTTGGTACCAGAGATTGAACTCAGGTCCTTGCGCTTGCCAGGCAGGTGGCAGAACCGCTGAGCTAAATCCCCGGCCCTATCAGTATATTCT